GGCACAGCCCGGCCGGAGCCGCCGCGGGAGCAGCGAGCCCGGAGCGCCATGGCCGAGAGATGCGATGTGCTCGTGGTCGGGGGCGGCATCTCAGGTGGGTGCGCGGCGGGGGATGCGAGACCCCGCATCCGAGCTCGGTAAAGCCGGCTGAGCACAGCCCCGTCCTCCGGGCCGAGTGCCGTGTGGTGCAGGCAGTATTTTATTGTTATAAACTATTCGTAATTTCAATTGTAGTGTTATTTTAGTTATTTTTATCTTATTTTTATTTTATAATTTACTTTACTATTTGTTTTATTATTACTAATATTATTATTATTAATTTTATTATTATTAATTCTATTATTATCAATTCTATTATTATTATTAATTCTATTATTATTTCTATTATTAATTCCATTATCTACTTTATTATTATTCATTTATATTGTCATTAATTCTTATTATACTTTATTTTTAGTATTTTCGATTTCCATTATTACTTATTTTTATTATAATTTATTTTCATAATAATTTATTTTACTTATCGTTTATATCCATTATAGTTAATTTTTACCACTATTTTTCATTTTACTATATATATTTTTTTTTTTAAATTCAATTTTATCCTATAGATTTACATTTTATTTTTCTGGTTCTTCCACTGTCCAGTCCTGGCATCCCCTGAACCTGTGCAATTCTTCCAGTACCCCTGGATCTTTTGGACAAGCAAGGCTAGAAGCACTTGCCATCCTCTGCACCCACTCCAGGGGTGTTAAGCAGAGACCTTCGGTCACATGCAATTAATTTGAATCCTTGGCTGCCTTTTGTTCAGCTCAGGTAGAGGCATAAAGGAAAAATGCCTGAAATCAGCTGGATGAATAGGAAGTTTCTAGCTCCCCTTTCAGCACAGGTATGGGTTTGAGATCAGGAGCAGCCTGGCAGAATGGACAGATGGCTCTGGGGGCCCAGAGCCTTCTTGCACTCGAGTGACAATCAGATGTTTTTAACCCAGTCTGGGCTGGAATACCCCTGTGCCTGCCCACAGCAAATCTCTCCCCTGAGCATTTTGTTCTGAAATACATGTGCCAAATAAATTGTGCATGGGTAGTAGATTCTTTTTCCCTATGCCTTTGGCATATCAAACAAAATTGCTTTTCGGCCCCTTAGCATTGGGAGGTGTGGAATGATAGCTCCTGTCCCATGTGGTGATCTCCTCAGAGCATGATGAGTCTGACACATCCACAGATCCAAGCAGTATCTCCTCCAAACCACAATTAATTGAGATCTGTTACAGAATGTGATTTTGTCCATCCATTTTTCTCATGACTTTTAATTTCCACTGTTTACTTATATATAATTCTAGATGTCTGTTTAACCATCATGCTAAGGTGTGTAGCGTGCAATTTGAATGATACACAAAACACAGAGACAAAACCGTAGGCATTATTTCCTGAGAACGATTCTCTGATAACAAACTGCCAGATAATGTTTGAATGTTTCAAGTATGTTTATACAAACAGCAAAAAATTAACCACTGCTTTTCTATAAAGCACAGTGGGTTCTGAACACAGTGTTATGGCTAATTTTTAACTTACAAGTATCACAGAGAAACTCAATTAAAGTAATTAGTCTATCTAATCATGCCTCGTAAACATAAACATTTCCAGTGGCATGGTTTTGTACAGCAGTGGTGCTACGTTCCCTCTGTTGAATGAGTCGGAGTGAAAGAGTCAGTGTAACAGCTTTTAAAGTACCCTTGTTATTCCTGGTTGCCATGGGAATATTTTCGTGGCAGGCCTGCCCATCCCACTTAGGTTTTTCTGGAAGAGCATCAGGGCAGGGAAGCAGCGCTAAGCTGTGGCAAATCGTGTGCTTCGCTCTTTGCCATCTGCAGACAGCAGCAAGTGGCAGGGGGAACCAGTTTTCTATTTACTTTTCTTATTATTTAATACCCACCAAAATGCTCCTGTGTCATGCTGTAGCAACTTTTCTCCTGTCTTCCCACAAAGGCTGGAAAAATATACAGGCACAAAAATTGCTTTAGACTGAGTACCTCTCTTCAGTCACTTTCCTTTAGCTGTTATGTACAGCTCCTGCTTCATCTGATTCACACCTGCCTGTAAATCTCTGAACTTGCAGCCAGGTGATGAAACTATGGTTTTAGATCTCCTTACACTGATTTAACCCCTGCTAACACTGATTTAAAACCCCTGCTAACACGCACGGCTGCTGCAGAGATCTGCTGTGCACCAGAGAGTGAAGTGTATGACTTTTAAATGAGGCACTCCTCAGAGACCGGGATTGTTGCTGCTCCACAGCTGGTGTGAGTTCCTACAGAAAGTCTCATTTTTTGAGCTGCCTGAGGCTCTTCTGACCGTGGTTGCTGCCTGTAAAAGCAGCAGAAGGCTCTTGTCACATTGAGGTGTGCCCGAGCCACCCACTCCAGCCCTCAGCCAAGCAGGTAATTGCAGAGCAAACAAAACTTGCTGTGCCAGCAGCAGGATGCAAATAAACAATGTCACAGAGATATCTCCTTGCTGGTTATTTCTTTAGGTAAAGCAAGCTGCCCATGTGCAGACCCCCCTTTGGCAGCAGCTCTGCCCATCTTTTCATCCAGATGTAATTAGTAGGGTCTAAAAATTAAGGGGGGAAAAGCTGATAAGGAAATAACAGTGCAGAGGCCTTCACAACCCTGGCAATCTCTGTTCTTTTATCTGAAGATGCCATTTCCTTTGCTGAATCGTTTTTACTGTCATTTATTGCAGGTTTGATAGAAGGGAAGAATAAAACTAAGGAACTGGCCAATTTAAATTTTATGTAATAAAAATCTACTCAAAATTAATCTTCATTTCTTTCAAGTCAAAGTAATGTTCTGTGGCTTTTCTGAAGATGTCAGGTAATCCCAATGGTATTGATGATAATGAAGACCTTTGAGGAACAGGAGGATTTACTAAGGGTAGATTTGATTTTATGGGTATCAGCAAAAGTCTTTGAAAGTTTTTGCAAAGGGTGCACATTAAAAAGAAATATTTTAAAAGAAAATCTCCCAGAGTCAAAAAGCATATATGAAAATTCTTAGCCACACATTGCATGCAGTATGCCTGGTGCTGAAGAATGTTTAGATCAGAAGCGTAACAGACCCTGTTAGAGCTGAAATGTGCATCATGACAGGTTCTTCTCTTTGCTTTGAATCCTCTCTGTTACTTTGAAGGGCTCCTCTAGCATGAGGGTCAAAACAACTATGAGAAAACTATAAAGTTACCTCATCAAAGTTGTTTATCTTCTTAACTGAGACACCAATTACTTCAAACAAAACCTTGAAATCTGTTCAGAGATTTTGTCTAGACTTTCTCCTTTTGTTTTCAAAAGTGTCTTCCTGTCTCTGCTTTTGCCTTGGGAACTGCTTTTGTTGTTTTGCTTTCAAATAAATTGCCAGATTTTATCCTAATCTTATTCCAGTCCTACTTAAGGAGATGCTTCTCTTAAATCTCTAGTGCACAGATTTTACAATCAAAGTGAGATTAATTGATTTTTTTCCCTTAAAGGTAAGTGTTTTCTTATTTATAGTATTATTTGGAGTATGCTTGTTGTTTTGCTGTTCACAAGCAACCTGTCCTGTTCCTGTAAGTCTAGAACCGAAACATACTGTAAGATAAAATAATTCAGTTATTACTTTGAGTTTTAAAAATATTTCCATACCTATTTTTGCATTATTGAGATGCCACTGTGCTCTCTACTCTTCTTAAGCCTCACTTTTAATTTGTGTGACAATTTAATGTGCTGTATAATTACAGTAGCTCTCACTACATCTATGAACCACTGTAAAGTTAGTTTAAAAATAAAAATGAAACCAAAACAGACCAGGTGTTTTGAGGGCTATTATCTGATGGTATTCTGTCTGTTTAAAAATAGACTAATGCAGAGGAAAAATTTGTTTTTTAAAACAAATCTGGGACAGATTTTTTTAAAACAAATCTGTTATAGATGAAATACATAATATTCAGTAGATACTTGTTTCTTTTGCTCTCCTGTAGTAAATTACAATGTGTCAATACTCCTCTTCAGTCAAGATGGTTTACCAAACAAGACAATGTTTTTGGAGAGCATTACTAGTCTGGGAGTCCTATGCTAGATGTCCATTTGGAGAATAAAGAAACTCTACAAAACCAAAATAAGGGCATGAAATAGCCCATGGTCCAGAAGAGCCAGAATGGATCAGTCAGTGGGAGGATTCTGACCCTCTCCAGGGAATGTCACCCTCTCTGGGACGCGCTCTGGCAACGACAATCCAGGATATTTCCTGTCAGTTGACATGGTGAAACTCTTGGTTCACATTTTCAGTCACCTGTCTCTGTATCTGACAGCAGGAAGTTATTCCTTTTGCACTCAACCACTCTCATGGCTAAAGCAGTATGAGCCAGTTACAGGGAACCTACATTTGACTTCTAGACACTTCACATTAAAAAAAACCAACTTGGCAATGCACAGTAAACAGACCAGAAAGCAGCTGCATAATGTGAAATAGTTTGGTAGCCTAGGCAGCAGGGACAGCTCTTATAATTCACTGTCTGAGACCTCCTAATTGGTCTGAGAGTTGATTTGATAAGAAGCTTTCCAGTCTACCTGCAGGAGCCATCTCATCTTACAAAGCTCTGGGTGGTGTGTCATTAAGGAAAGGTTTTCCATTAGCTTATTTAACCATTATGAAAGGGTGTTGCTAGGGAAGATTCATTCAGTCTGTTCAGCAAAATGTGAAAACTACTATGGAAGGGGAAAAAAGGTAAGCTAGGATGGCAAAAATTTGGGAAAGGAATTGCTGTTATGTCTATTATGGGAAATAAGTTATTATGGAAATAACTGGTAGAGAACCAAAGTTTATGTGCAGCAGTTGGTGTTAAATTTATAAACTGTAAAATCCACAGGATTTTCTAATCCATGCTGCTGATTTTTTTTTTTTTTTTTATTTTTTTATTTTTTTAATGGGCAAACAAGATTGGAAACAGGAGAGGCTGAAAGCTCTTTGTAAGCAAGTTCTGTGCGTGGTTTGCTTGGACAACCACCTTGGTGGGTGCTTTTGGTTGGTGAGATTTGTCAGAGTTTGGTCTAGCACTTGAC